TGGGTGTCGAGGCTTGAGGACTGATTTGGAGATTCCTGAAGATGTCGGCACCATGTGACGAGCAGATGCTGCACGCAAAACCGGTGCATGACGAACGGAGTCATCAGTCCTAAATGCTGGGCCTACAAGGAGAGAGTTATTAATGGGGTGGGAAGAGGGGGAAGAAAAAGTATGTGAAGGAGAAAGAAGGGAGGCGTCAGCAGTGGCCTGTTATCGCTTACCCGCCCTGCTGTACGCAGCAAGTAAGGCGACCCGGCTGATAATGAACATACAACTGTATTTGGATTCGCAGTACAGATAAAGCCACTCAGAATGGATCACTAGAAGACGAATTAATTATAATGATTTTGGTGATCACTGATAACAACCACAAAAGGGTGTTTCGGATGTTTCATAGACGCAGCAACTCCTCTGATGGAAAGAACCGCAAGTTAGATTGAAACTGATTGGATAGTGATTTCTTAAGCATGTGCCCTCGAGAAAAATATCTGTATGGAAACAACCTTTACCTGAAAATGTTCTTGGAGTGGTGCATGAACCATGCAACCTGCCATTAGATGAAAACATAGGTTTGCATGTTTTGTAGCGAGGATGTGCTGCCACTGGGCAAGGTAGCTGACAGGAAAGGCCTAGCATTGATCAGACTATTTGGACGCAGTTTAATGAGTTCTTTAAACTATTCTAAAAAATCGAATAAAAATACTGCTTTTCTTGTTTTCCATGAGTGGCGTCATTTTAGGAAGAACATTTTAGAACATATGGCAGGGAAAATAGAACGACCCAATTGGATGTTTTGTACTCCATTGAACACGCAAACTGCGCTGCATGATGTGACAGGTAGCTCGACTTTTATACACATAAGTCACTGAAGATTCCTTCTAAACTGCATTGTAAAGCCAAGCAGAGCACATGAGTCATTCATTTAAACGACATTCAAATTAGAACACTTAAATGAATAAAGGCAAATCGCTCTGAATACTCATGCGGAGCTACAGGTTTCCTCTACCAAGTTAATGAGCTTGGCGTTCTATTCATCTTTGTAAGACGTTCCACCCCGGAAACGAAATCGGAATCCGGTACTAGATTGCTGCCTCCAACTACGCAACGGACGACCTTAAGGAGGGAATAAATATGTAAGGACCGAAAACACTGAGCTCGGAATAGTTCAGTGGTAAGGGTGCGTTTTTACTGACCGAATGGTCTGTGGTTCTGACCGAACTCCGACATTTCAACTGCTGCTGCCTAGGCTTGGGTAACCTGGCAGGTCTCATCCCTCGTGCTTCCTTCCGATACCACTTCAGTTAGGCACCGAGTAGGTACTATAGCTGAAAGAATTTATTTTGTGCTGACCCTAGAAGACAACAATTAGCGCTCATCCAATAACGAATATTGCCCTCTCCTTACGGGGAGCTACGTTCTATTTATATGAAGCTAGAAGTATGAGTTAAGGTTTTCCTTTTAGACTCTTAGGCAACAGCTCTGTGTGAGCTACAACATTTTCCGTGATGATGATGTACAAGAGACTTTTGGGAATAGCGTAAAGTACAAAGCAGATTTACTCGTTTTGGCAACAAACAATAGGACGACAGTGGTTTCTTGGGATCCTAGTAAAAATGCGAGCATCTTCAAAAGTAGCTAAACTGGCTAGGTCGAAATACCATGCTTTTTAAGGGAGAATGGTTTGTCACTCCAGCTGACTTAGGTATTTTAACGGTCTGATCAAATGGAATAACGTTTACCTGACCCATACGTGACCGGGTTTTTTGACATTTCATGATGCAAAGCATTATAATCTTGCGGAGGACACGATTTGTGACAGGATTTTGACAATTTTTGTGATTTCGCATCCGGATATGGACCTAGGTCTTGCGTTCATGCGGCACAATCTTCCTATCAAAGTCATTCTACCAACGAAACTACTCCTTGAACAATAACTAAAAATTTCTCTTCCAGTGACATCCAAACGAGTACAGATCCCCAGCTAATTAGGGCCCAGCGGATTTAAGGAGTAAATCTAAGCATTCATGATCCGTAAGGAAACACTGATCAGACAATAAACCAGTAGATCAAATGGTAAACAGATCGTTTGATTAGGACATGCAGAACTTACCGCCCTTATGTCATTCATAAGGCTCAGTCCAGGGTTCCATCCTCGAGTGCCTGAACACGTCAGTCCAGTTGGGGGAGAAATATCAGCCGTTTTTGAAGATGCTAAAAGACCCATGGCTAGTAAACTCAAGCCATCGTAGAGCAGTGCTGATTGTGTCTAAGAGCAGGGGTAAGCAAGATAACGTGACGACGATAAATACTATTGCAGCTGATTTCTAAATTTACGCTGCAATTAAAAAGTCGTTCCGGATTAAATTCGGTTCGGTGAGAGTGTCTAGGTCAGATTACATTATCTCGATTGGTCATTTATGTCGAGGGTGATAGTATCCACCAACTGTGACAAACACCACAGGAATCAGGTAGAACATAATGCTGAGGGAAATTCGAGGAATGCAACGGCCCAATAAGCCCAAAGAAGGCGGAAACCATTCCTGGGCTGTTGGACGGATCTCAGCAGCCCTATGATTTTTGTTTTGTCAGGAAAAACACCACAGTTATTGTAGAAACAAACATAAGAGCTTATCACACGGAGGCATTTCTCCAAAAACCGAATGTATCCGAAATCCCGGAGCTTCATAGTGAAACGAGACGGATTGCTGTTCTTTGCAATTGTATCACGAATCCTAATCAAAAGACGGAAACCCAGAACTCTTTCCTTTCGAACATGTCTGGAAGAATTGGCTAACTGATTGTCAATATACATCAGATTATTTGAAATATCTCATTTATTATTAAGGACCGTGCCATCTGAACGAAGGTAATTTTTAGTATCTATTCGTCTGGATCAAACATATACACAGAAAGTACAAAATTGTTCAAAACATACAACCACTTGTTGGTTAAATGTGGCCCACCAAATTCGTACGGGATTTATCATTCCTGATTTTCAGTATTAATTACCGGTTTTTTAGTAGTTTGGGTTTTACTCCCTGACTTGATCAATTTTCCTGTTCAAACTATACGTTTGAGCCGGATGAAGAGACGTCGAAAAGATTACCTTGGCTCAGATGGTATTGTTCTCAAACAACCAAATTGAGCGTCACTGTCAGTGGTGCCAACATTGTTCACTTGTCCCGGCACCCTTATTTTATGCATGCAGGTCAATTATTCCTCTTATCCCTAAAGCTAACATCTTTAAAAGCTATCCTGTCCGTGTATTGTCACGTATATTAATATGCATGATGGTCGGTAATATCCGGAATACCAGATGAAACCGCGAAAAACCTCAACACCGGCACACGGTGTTCACCATTGGGCCTTCTGCCAAGCTACAAGGATTAAGCCACTAGAAATCTTCGAAGCCGTGCTTATTATATTATGGTGACTGTCGATCACTTAAAAAAGAGGCCCCATAAACTAGGAGGTTTACTCTCAGTCCATTTGTGCACCTCAACGAGGCCTAAACCATATATTGGCGCAACCTCGACCATGCAAAGTCTCAAATGCCCAACAATCATTGTTTATGACCCACAATGGGTAAGCTAACATAATACCGAGCAAAATAGTCATGAGACCTTGCTGCCAAAAAGATATCCGCAAACTATTAGGCTAACATTCAAGGTCACTCAAACTCATAGAAACCTTTGCAATTCAGTGGAGTTTTGTCGTTTCCACAAACACGCAGCTAAGCAGAGGAATTTCACTACTCTCATCTTTGTGACAAGTTGTCAAATTGTCGTTGTGATTCCTGTGAACACGAGGACATGCCGTCGGTTTTGGCCATATATATATATATATAA